TTTCCATAAAAGCGAGTATTGCTTTACGAGATCGTCCTCTCCCCAGGACATCACGACAAGATGTGGCGCTAAGTACCATGCTCCASTGACGCACTAAGACAGTACTGACTGTATTTGCTGTTAGATAGCTTTAGGTACACATTTCTGAGAGTGAACGCGTTTAGTCCGTGAAATTGTGCAAAATCAAAATACTACAAATTTGTATTTGAATCTGCATCTGAGGCGGTAATTCCTTTAAATCACCATAGTTCAAGTTCACCGATCTCTTGTTCACCAAACGATGAGAAGTTTTCCCCAGTGGAATTGAAACTGTCCGAGCAACAAACACAAAATCGAATATTTTACTAAATACATTATCTTATCCTGATGAAAATGTGAAAAAATAACGACAAGGCAAGTTCCAAGATATCGCAGCAGTCGGTATCTTTTTCATGCTCTATATCAAAGGAATATTTTCGCTTGTTCTACGTAGCAACAGTAACTAGGGAGGTAGGACAATGAATTGGGATCGGTCAATTAAGCACCATTTATGGTCGTCTCCTTAAATCCGTGAAATACATTTTAGCTTATTGCACTTTACTGTTCTATATTTTGCATCTTTTTGTTTTTGTCCTTTCGGTGCAGCATACATTATTACACATTATTTCAAGGATTAGTGACATCAAACAATAAATTTCACAAAACGGTACAAAGAGGCCCGTTAAATTTCACGGATTAAGTGCGCGCTCACTCTACTATGCCGTGAAATACAACTGGGAATTATAAATACATAAAACTTAAAACAATTATATGCCAAGCTCATGAGATATGATATAAATAGCTAGCTATAGATCGAAAATCTAAGTTAGAAATAATGGTTAATATATAATGCTAATATAAAGAGGGGAATTTTTGTCATAAAATATAAAATTTGGACGAGAAGACTGATGTGGTACACAGCCATTTTGAATTAGAAAATTTCATATATATTATCAACCACTTGTTTTGTGCAATAAATCTTTAATTGGGCTAACAAAAACAATCCTCTAAAGTTAGGGAAGGTTATACATAGAAAACTTATAATAAAATGGAGTTTAAACTTAATATTGACGTCTTCAAATTAGCATATTGCTCATATTCACCTCAAGTTGTTTTGTGGAATATATCTTTAAACTGAGTTATACCAAAACAATCTTCAACATTTTAGGACTGGTTATACATAGAGCACTAAAAATAAACCCAATTCTTAAAACACTTCAAAGAACCCATCAACTGACTTCATAAATTAGCATAATATAGTTAATTTTTTGAAGTTTTATGGCTGTACCCAGAGAACCAGCCAAGCTAGCGCTCTCTTCATAAATTGACTGAAAAAATAATTCATACACACTTTAAGTCAAGAAGTACCTTAACCTAACGGAAAAACTAAAAGCCCTGAAAACTATCAATAATGTTATAATTCTAGAAACAGACCTTGAGAAAACGTCCTTAT